CACGAAGATATGTCATATCTACTTGCGGTACGACATATGCATGCCAAATTAAATTATTGATATTTTTCTTTTCGATGTTTCCATTTCGATATTTTCCTGCTTCATGTTCTCCTCGTTCGATGTTTTCTACCGAACTCTCATTAATAATAATCAAAACAAAACAATAAGAGAAGGAAAAATGAGCATTTTACGTTCGTTTTAGATTCTAAAAAGACAATTTTACATTTTATAACTAAAATCAAAGAAACAATATCCAAAAATTGTTATACAATCAAGTTTTCTTGATTAACATGGCCGCTTCTGCTGTACTCACGGATGATCTTCTTACAAATATCGATAGTCAACAGCTTGAAATTTTCTGTATTATCTGGCTAGATGACAATGCACAAGTCGGTAATAATCGAGAAACAGAACAAGGTCTGCGTTCGATTATTAATCGTCTCAGGAGATTTAAAGATGTAGACCGATGTGAAAAATATATTAATGAACAAATGCCAGAAGACCGACTAATACTTATTGTTAGCGGTCAATTAGGACGAAAGATTGTTCCTACGATTCACACAGTTCGACAAGTTATATCAATTTATGTGTACTGCATGGATGAGGCAAGTAACAGAGAATGGTCTAAGAAATATCCAAAGGTAACAGTATTTAAAATGCTGTCAGTTTTATTTTATGCTTGTTTTTCTCTTGAACAGGTCAAAGCTGTTGTTACTGAACTCGATAAACTCGTTTCTCGAATTAAAAGCGACCATAAAGTCCAACAAATTATTGAACAACCATTATCAATTAATATTTTTACCTCAGGCAAATCAACAGGCGATGTAGATGGTAAATTTGTTTTCTCTCAAGTTCTTATCGATTGTCTTCTACGACTTAAATCGAACCAAGACGATACAAATGAACTTATTAAATATTGTAAAAAAGTATATGAAGGTAATAAAGTCGAATTGAGTAATATTCGTGAATTTCAAAAAGAATATTCACTTGACAAAGCTGTATGGTGGTACACACGAGATACATTCTTTTTCAAAACTCTTAATGCTGTGCTACGTACAGAAAATATTCATATGATATTTTTATTTCGTGCATATATCGCCGATATTCAGCGTCAATTGAAAACTCATCAACTTAAGGAATCTCTACGTGTTTATCGCGGACAATTAGTATCAAATGATGAGTTGAAAACTTTACAAAAATCTTGTGGACAGTTTATTTCCGTAAATTCATTCTTTTCTACCAGCACAGAAGTTGAACAAGCTCGTTTTTTTCTCAACGCTGCTGATAAACCCGAGAATTTGGAACGAGCATTGTTTGAAATAGTTGCTGATCCTAAATCAACTACTACGAAACCATTCGCTAACATTAGTTCGTTAAGTGAATTTGAAGATGAATCAGAAATACTCTTCATGATAGGTTCGATTTTTCGTTTGAACAGCGTCAATCGCAGCAGTGATGGTAAAATATGGATTATTCGAATGATATTGTGCAGTGAGAATGATAGTGATTTAAAAACTGTTCTCGTGCATATGAAAAAGCAACTTGGTAGTGGTGAAACAAATCTTCGAACATTAGGAAGAGTATTATGGAAAATGGGAAAACTTGGTTTAGCTGAGTTCTATTTGAATCGTTTATTGAATGACCTTCCACCCAAACATCCTTTACTTGGCGATTTATATGAAGATCTTGGAGAAATCGCAGCACTCGCCGGTGACTATGACAAAAGCGTTCAGTATCAACAAAAATCATTGGAATACAAAGGTCCAAGAGAATTAATTGATAAAATCCATACGGATGACGGTCGTAAGCAGGCTGGTAAGTAAATCAAAATAAATTCGATTATCTTGAAAACGGCCATTCTATATCAAAATGAATATTTTGTTTAGACAAGCACCGGTGAAAAATATGAGGCAGAAGAAACTGGTGAAAAGTATCATCATTAAGGATGTGAGTGTGGATGCGATGCTTCTCTTGATTCACATCCACACCCACACCCCACATTCACCTATACTCTTCATGCAAAATCGCGTACGGACCCGAGTTTTATTGTCTTTTTACTGCGTCTAGACGTGTTTCACAAGAAAAACCCGTTTAAACTGACAATTTTTGCGTTTCATGTTTACATGGGTTTGTTATTATTATCTATAGGAGTGTCTGTATAGTTAGAGTGTCATTCTTTAATCATTTTTTCAGATATTTTTTTTTGGTGCCATTTGATCTTCTTAAAAAGTAAAAATATCAAAAAAAAGCCTTTACACTACAAAGCATTCTAACTAAGATACTCATTCAAACAAAAATAAATTCAATCTATAGAATGAACTCGAATAGAAGAATCTGTTGCACGAAAGGTGATGTTTTGAACCTTGCTAGGTGAATATCTCCTTTAATTGTCTTGGTATGAAGGTGAACATTTAACTATAGCTTCTCCGCTCTTGTCCTTGTACATCTTGAAAATTTGATATCATTGTAACTTATGTTGGTTTGAATCTATTTTTAGAGAGGCACACGAGAGGAATACAGTGAAATGAACGTGAATAAATATTGTTTTAGTAGATACATAAAATCAATCTCTCCACATCAGTAGTAGCAGCAGCTAAATCATGTTTCATATTTTTAATCCCGATAGGTATTGCAATAACAGCTTCTCTACATTACGGTACATCTAGGAGTTCTAAAACATCAGAATAACCTGTATTCTCCGATAGATTTCTCAATTATCCCGATTTTATTTAGCTTCCTAAGAATGCTTCTCGTGTTGTTGTAAAGGGTGCTTAATAAGTAACGACCTATTTTTATAGAGTAAAACGCTTAAAAATGGAGGTCATTACTTAAAAAACATCAGTTATGTCGGTAGGCTTCATTAGTTTCACTTGTTTTTTTTACTAAATCTTAGAGTTTTTCTACATTTTTCTATGCCTAAAAATTTTAAAAGTCGAAAAGAATTGCCTTCCACTGTTATTGTGAATGCTTTTTTTTCGTTTTTGTTCTAGAACAACCCATTCCGTCTACTACCTTCACTGAAAAGACGAAACAGATACAAAATGGTGTGCGTATTGCTGGAGGATATGGATCGGGAAATGAATTAAATCAGTTGAACAGTCCTCATGGTATGTATATTGATGACGACGATCAAAGTATTTATGTCGCTGACTGGGGAAATCATCGTATTGTTAAATGGAAATATAATGCAAAGAATGGTGAAGTTGTTGCGGGTGGAAATGGAAACGGAAATCGTATGGATCAGTTGAGTTTTCCAACAGATGTGATTGTTGACAAGAAGAATGATTCTCTTATAATTTGTGATTGGGGAAACAGACGTGTGGTAAGATGGCCTCGTCGAAATGGTACAAATGTACTAACTATTGTCTCGAACATTCGATGTTCTCATCTAGCAATGGATAATGATGGATATCTGTATGTCTCTGATATTGAGAAGAATGAAGTGAAACGATGGAAAAAAGGGCAGAAAGATGGAACAATCATAGCTGGTGGAAATGGAAAAGGATGTCAGCTCAATCAATTGAATAATCCTACTTATATCTTTGTTGATCAAGATTATGCAATCTATATATCAGATGAGAACAATCATCGTGTGATGAAATGGATGAAAGATAGCAAAGAAGGAATTGTAGTCGCCGGTGGACAAGGTGAAGGAAACAGTCTCACGCAACTGTCTCGTCCTGCAGGGGTGATCGTTGATCAATTGGGTCGTCTCTATGTGAGTGATTGTTGGAATCATCGAATAATGCGTTGTTCAAAAGAATCTAAAGATGGTTCTATTGTTGTTGCTGGAAATGGAAAAGGAGAACAACCAAATGAACTTAATAGTCCCAAAGGTTTATCGATCGATCGGCAAGGTAACCTCTGTGTTCTTGATCAAGGCAATCATCGAGTACAAACATTCTATGTTGATTCAAACCGAAATTGATTATTGAAATAAAATGAAATTTGACGAACAATAGGAGTTTTTGCAAAAAATTATTTTAATTTTCTTTGAAAATAAATTAAATTGTAGAATTTTGAATCGCATGATCAAACGAATAATTGATGACATAAGTTCTACCGACAATTTGACGAGTGAAAAAAATTCCACTATCGACAAAGACAATACTGATTTATTGTTGTTTCAATCTAATATAATCACCTGTGAGATGAATAAATTCTGCTTAGATGAAACAAATGATTTGTTGAAGTTACATTGGCTGAATGAATTGTCATTGAAGTGTGGGTGTGGGTGTGGGTGTGGGTGTGGGTGTTGGTGTGGGTTTGGGTGGTGTGTGGGTGTGGGGTGTGGGTGTGGGGTGTGGGTGTGGGGTGTGGGTGTGGGAGAGATCAAGATTCACACCCACACCCACACCCACATCCACACCCACACCCACATCCACACCCACATCCACACCCACACCCCACACCCCACACCCACACCCCCCACACCCCCACCCCCACCCACACCCCCACCCACACAGACACCCCACACCCACACCTACACCCACACCCGCGCCCCAATTCTAACCGATTCCAATTCCAATTCCTACAAATTCCGTCAATTCCAAGCCAAGAATTGGAATTATATTTGGTTAGAATTGGGATTGATGCATCCCTATGTTATAATGAGCCATTTACTTTGACTGAATTGATATAAATATCATCAGTCTTGATGAATCCTATTAATGTATCTTACGACGTAAGTAGAATCCATCGGATTGATAACATATCTGGCCGACTCTAATTACCTAAGAAATCTATGAGAAAAATGCCATTTTTGATGATGAAATGGACATTATTTTTGATTTTTTTTAAATGTTTAGATAAAAATCAAAATTTTTATTTATGAAAACCTTTAAAAATACACAATATCCAGAAATTTTTATAAGTTCGAACCGATTACCATTGGACAAGCTCTGCGGTGAATTTTTCAACAGTTCATTATACTCTAATGTCACATTAATTGATAAAATACATAAAAGACACAAACTGTAGAAAAAGCAGAGCATGACATGGTCTCTCTCATAATGCAGTCCATGTATTACGAGAGTGGTATGTATAAAAATAAATTTGTGAATAAGATTCACATTAATCATCTTCATTATTTATTATCAAAACAAAATCTTGAAGCACAATGCTTTTCATACTAAAGTCATTTGTTGAAATTCTTTTTATTTGATAATATTTTAAAACTTTTTAATCATTTGACATTTGATTGAAATTGAGTGTTTCAAATGTATAAGTAAGAATATTTATCTACCGATTTATATTTTGCAAAATAATTAATGAAAATGATATCAACATGACGAAACTAATGGAATGGTTTTGATGTTTCCGAAATAATGAAAAGCATGAACTTTTTCATATGAAAATTCCGAACTTTTGAGTGGATGTGAAGAGAATCGAAAATCACCCACACCTACACCTAATCAGTTTCATCTGGCAAGTGATTTAGCACTTCTCAAGTCTTTACCTATCGGACTTTATTGAACTGAACTCCAAAGACCAGAAGACAACAAAATATAATTGGTCTCTTATCCAATTACGCCATCTAACTGTTTCTCAAGTTTAGTGGTTAACTGTATGTGCTAATTAAATTTCTTTTTGCTTTTCTATCGATGTCGTGATATGCGGCGGTATATATTCTCGCAACAAAAATCGAACTTTGATGTCGAACAGAAAACGTCAGAAAATAACAAGGATCAGTCAAGAGAGTAAAACGTAAGTCACATTAATTATTATTTTCTTACCAATCTGTTCATTTAAACTCATTTTCTTGGCAGTTACACACCTACAAAATTTGAAGATTTACCAAATGAGTTGATATTATTGTGTTTTAATTATTTTGATTTCTATCATTTATATGAAACATTTTTTTTCTTTAAATCAACGTTTCAACAAATTAATTCTATATGATGCAAAAATTCATGTTGATTTTGGTGCAATTCCAAATGGAAAATTTTTAACATTTTGTTTTAATTTAAATCAGTTAACAAATACAAGTAAAAACTATCCATTATCAATTCGAGCTGATAATGAATATCAATTTAATATATTTTTCGAAGATGATTTATTTAAAGATAAATTTTCTAAACTAAAATCATTAATAATAAATGATATAAAACTTGCAACATTAAGTAACATAATATTTGACAAAAAAGATAAAATTATATGAACACATTAGAACGATTAAGTTTAATGGAAGATATCAGTGGAGAAGACTATGAAATTCAAGGTAAGAAACTATCTCAATAATTGAAAACTGATTAGGGCATGACTAAATCTCATATGCAAACTAAAAAGAAAGAAAAATACATTCATTAAATTCAAAGACATAAAATTTCAATTTCTATCTTATTTGTCATTGTAGAATTATATAATAATTTAATATCATCAAAAATGAAATCATTAAAATATTTGAATTTGAATTTTGAAATACATAATTGTAAATGTGAACATGATCTCTACAAACCTAAAGATAATGTTGATTTGAATTTCGAAGAATTGTCAATAAGAAAAAAATTCATCAAATAATTTAGAAACAATTATTATTGGTTGTATGTTATCAAAATTATATCTTTTTGTATACATGTATCTAATTTCTTTCATTAGATATTCCTCAATATGATCGTGATTATTCAACAACAAGAATATCGTTTTAGTCATTGACTGAAAAGTTATTACCTCATCTACCAAAATTAAAGAATTTAATTATAAATTCAGTTTATTTGGATCAATATTACTAACATAACGTATGCAGAAAATATTCTCATATCTTCTGATAAAAATGATACACTAAGTTCTATTAGAAAGATCCAGAGAATTACAAGAGGACAAGCATCGTCTAATAGCGAAAATATCTTTTGAAAACAATTTTACCTATTTCTTCCTTGTATATATTATTGCCAATTCGATACTATTTTCATTTTTTATTATTTCGCTTTATTAAATTTTTCTTTTCTATGATAGACATCGTTCATCGAAGAAAAAAAAAATTTGTTATTCCATCAAATTTAAAATTAATTAAAATTTGGATCAATGTGAATAAATACAAAAAAGATGATACGGAAAAACTTGAAAAATTGTTACGAAATTATTTTATGAATAACAGTTCAACAACAATTAAAATATTTACTATTAACAATAAAAATGTGTTAAGAAAAAAATTTTAAAACTTCATCTATTTCATGTACATGATAAAAGATTTTTATTTGATGTAATCTTTTTTTTCTGAATAAACTTGTATTTGTCACTTTTGAAAGGATTTTTCTTCATATTTTGGATTCAATTCAACGATGAAAGTTAGAATAAGAAGAACGAAAAAAAAACACTAGAACACTTTCCACATATCTCATAAAAAGAAGGCACTTCTTCAATCGAATTCTGCCGTACAAAATATCTAATGATATAGGCTTGATGCAGTTTCAAAAAAATATGTGATTACGTTCAATATCCAACTATACACAAAATTATTCATTTAGTCTTTGTGATCTTGACGCTCAATTTTCTTTACAATTCTGTTACCTATAGTTATCCTATTCGATACATTGGACAATTTTGAGTTTTGAATTTTTATAAACAAAAATATTGAAAGTTTGATATATAGATAAAAGACAAAATTAGAAAAATTGAGAAAATTCTTTGGACCATTATGAATTTTTATACCTACAAAATCGTTGATTGCTGCATCCCGCCATGATTAATTTTGCCGAAAAAAATGTGGGAAAATGATAAAAATTTGAAGGATGAGTGATATTATCTTTGGAAATACGAATAAATCCTTTTGTTCTCAACTCGTGATTCTTAGCAATTGAGGAATTGACGAAATAAGAGACACGAAAAATGCAGTTTAAAATATAACATTAATTGAGAGATCTGCATTTTTACAATAAGCAAATAATGGAAAAAACACATAGACACCTATGAAAAGTAAATAAGAGAAAACATATGATTTCAACATTGAGTCTTTCTATTGACTGATTCATTATTTATTTTAGAATTCTCCATTACTATTTTTATTATTAACGAAAAATTGAAATTGATCATCCCTGTGCCACTGGGTAAAGATTGAAATAATCAAGATTTTTGACAGTGAACGGTAGCCGAAAGTTGCCGCTGAATACATCTTCGCTACAATTAGATGAACCAGCAGTCATATATCTTCCACAAAGGAGTAGAACATTGTTTTTTGTCATAATTTCGGTTATGATAAATTTGAACTATGCCATCTGATGAGCCTTTGAAGCAAGTACGAAACAGGTCATGACTGCTAGTTCATGTAACTGAATGAAAAAATGCATATCTAAAACGTTTTTTAATGTTTTTCTCAAAACACATGTTCCAAATAATAATTTTTCCCAACTCTGGTATAATCGATGTTTTTTCTATTTTAAAGGTTTTCATCAGAACCAACTTATCATCGGACGAATTTTTGATAATTTGATTCCTGAATAGAGAAAAGTGAAATTTATCTAATGCTTATCGTGAATATCATGCCCATAAAAAATGAATAAAAGAAAATTTCAAAATTCTGTCCGCGAAAAAGTTGCGAACTATGGCTAGATTTCATTTAAGAGCAGCTCGAGCTCTATATTCCTCATCACCATGAAGTTATTTCGATTCTTCTGGAAAGTATCAAAGCAAGCCGAAAGTTCTGTCTAGTAGAGGATATCATGCTGAAATTTTTCTCATAAGTGTTTGTTACTAAAGCCATTGATTCCTAAACAATACTCGTTCTTTATCCGAAAAAATAGCCTGTATGGTATACAAATATCATCATGAAAATATTGAAATTTTTTAAAAATTTGAAGACACTTTTAATATATATTAGAAAAAAATTATCAAGTGACACTTCTACAAACATCTTATTTGTTTTCAAAAAAAAAGCATTTGACACTCAAGTTTTACTAATAATTGTATTTAGGTTTAATCACGAAACAAAAATCAAATTTGAATGTGAGTGTGTGTTTTTGATTATATCCATATCCTTTGATTAAAATTAACAACACATACAGGTACTCCAAAAAGTATCTGGACACTCTCATGTTTTTTTTTGTATTTCGTGGTTTGCAAAGCAGAAACGAGAGATGCATTTTTTTTGTCTTTTTACCAGTATATATCCCTTACTCTGAACTAGATTTTCTATGAAAATCAGCAATTTTAACTATCATCTTGCATGATAGGAACATTTCTTATGAAAATATTTGATCTTTCAGTATATTAGATACTTCGTTTCCTGACATTAGAATTATATTATTTACATATCGCTAGAACGGGCAAAGCGAGTTCTATTTGTTGGTATAATATTTCACTGAAGAACGGTAATTTGTACAAAGTAAACTATTTTAAAAGAAACTAGACTTTTGAGCATGTTTAATACCGTAGTGCGAGGGTGAAGGTTTCATAGACAACAGATTCGCATCCACACGCACAGAACTACATCCACGGGCCCATGCCCACACCCTCATAAGAAACGTTCCTGCCGTTCAAGATGGTAGTTAAAATGGCTGATTTTCATAGAAAATCTAGTTCGAAGTAAGAGACCAGTGAAAAAAGTACAAATGTATCTCTCGATTCTGCTTTGCAAACCAAGAAATACAAAAAAAGCATGAGTGTCCGGATACTTTTTGAAGTATCTGTATATGAAAAGAACAAAATGAAATAGAACTTCTACAACATTATTAGTATTTATTTTGACTGTGTGCCATTCTTTATCCTAAAGTCAAAGATGTGTTTGTATATATTTTGGATGTGGATGGATATGGTTGAAAAGAACATTCTAACACCCACACTCTATGGATGTCGTTTCAGTTTTTAAAAATTTTATATTTGTACACTCATCGAGATCATTTGAGAAAAATATGTATTAAACGATTGACTTGTTTTTACTAGGTTTCTATTCATTTTATTACAATTCTACGAAACATCAAAGATTTTTGTTATTTTTATATAGCTTAGGACTATAATTAATTTTTCTATTTAATAAATGGTTTTCATTTGATTTATGTGGAATCTATTCATAGTAGAGTAAAAAATTTCTATCCCCCAATAATACAAGTTTCTCACAAACTATTAAAACCAATAATTGAAAAAAAAAGAATGTAAAATATTCAATAAAAGATTTTTCGAAAATTACTGAATTGTTTTGTAAAACTGAAGTAAGTGCATAATATTCGATCAATTATAAAATGTACAAATTGCAAGGGGGAAACAGCGTACTTGAAGTAGAAAAGTAGCTCAAAGTAGAAAAGTAACTTGAAGTAACTTGAAGTAGCTCGAAGTAATTTAAAGTTGAACAAAGTATAGAGAAGTAGCTCCAAATATATTTAAAGTATCATGAAGTACTTTGAAGTGCTGGTAAAGTGTTGAAAAGTGCATTAAAGTATCATTGAAGTATCGCAAAAGTACTGTTAAAGTACCACAAATTACTTTGAAGTACCTCATAGTACTTTGAAGTACCATTAAAGTATTCAAAAGTACTTTCAAGTACATCTAATTATCGAGAAGTGCGTACATGGGCTTGAAAATATCTTGTAAAAGCTGAAACTTAAATACATAGAATTACTTGGGGGTACCAAAAGTAGTGGTAGTGACACTTTAATACCTCATAGTAAGCTTGATAAAACTTCCTTTTTATATAAGATGATAGAGAAAAACATGCTCTTTCATTCTGTGCTATTGGATCATTCTTCGGTTGATTTCATAACAATAAAGTTCTAATGAAATTAATTTTCGTAGCATATGCAACGGTTATATGAGTTCAAATCGTCTCGAATATGTATTCTTTTCTTAATCTTCTCTTTATTATTCTTCTTTTTTTATACTTTTCTCTCGCCTTTTCTAACTGTTTATCGTTTCTTCATATTACTGTACACAAAAATACAAAATACATAAACAAGTTCAAGAAGTTTTATTTCATTAAATGTTCAAAATAATCGCCTTCATTATCTACACACAATGGCATTGGCGGAATCCATTTATCAAATGTTTTTTATACTCTGCTTTATCCAAAGAATACGTGAATTCGATTATAGCATGACGTAATGAGTTGGAAATAGTTTGATCACCTAGATTACGTTTGATCAAATCGAATAACCAAAAATCACAGGGTAACAGGTCTGGAGAATTGGGTTGATATGTTACTATGGTAACTTCTTCTGACCGAAGGTAACCGAAAACAGCTTGATGGGCATGAGTTTTTCCGTTACCGTGATCAAATTATATTGCATGAGTACCAGATAGAGATCTTTGTTTCT